CCCTCGAGGACGCTATCATGTGTAATCATTGACATACAAACGAATTGGCTTGTCCGTTCGTCCTGCACAGTTTCATCTACTGTCTGCCCGCGTGTCATCTTCTCCTACTTAAGGCTGGTTCTTTTATATATCGGAAATTGGTTTCTTTCTATCTTCCTCCCATTCTACGCGCACGAACGTAGTTCAATTCGTAAATATTCGACGATTGAATTACTATTCTGATTACTATTCGTTCCGTGTGTTCTTTTGGCTAACTTGCCGGAATTGTTTGAAATGTGATACAGGCTCTCCGGCCGACAACGCGGACACGCTGGAAGTGGCCGACGAAATTCTACAAGTCAACGGCAGTACGTTGGAAAATGCCAGTCAATCGGAAGTCATTCAGTATATATATCAGGTACTTGTGATGTTTCACTTACAGAACGGTTTCGGAAAAAGTCGTAGCGAAACGTAAGGAAATTTCCCTGTTACGAAAAGAACATCTTGTAAGAAACAGAAAATGTAAATAAGACCAGATAAATTCTCAGTAGATGAATGTCTTTTAACCTACAGATTTCTCTAACTTAAAAAGATTTTTCTTCTTTGTTGAAAAATAACATTCAACAAATCTTGTCCTATATATAAAATAATATAGAATCAATTGAGTATTTTGAACATATATACTATATATATATATATATCTTATATTCTCATATACTTACATACCTATATATCGCACTATGTATATTATATATTCTTCATATACGTTTATATACATTACTATCTTTCGCAAATATTAAGTATTACGTACTTGTCATAAATTTATTTCATTTTCAAATCCAGTTTTCTAGTATGTTCCGACAGGTTAGGCATCCATGATGCAAACATTGATCTGTTTATCGATTAATCGATTTGTTTCTTTTCCCAGTGCATCGAGTCACGAACGATATGTCTGCGAGTGCGGAGGAGGAGCGGAAACAAAATGGGTGAGTACATTTTATTATAATTATTTTAATCTGCGAGAGTTTTAATAGATGAAAAACTTTGTAAATAAAATGTGGAAAAATTGAATAATTTTATTGTGTTATGAGTTTATACGTTATAGGTATAAAATATTTGTAGGCCAAAGACGCAAAAATTTAGACATGTGTATAATGTGCACATCTCATTACAATAAATTCTCCAGTTTGATTCTTTATTTTTTAGTTATATTCATTAAAGAATGAAAGTGTATAAATATTCGAAGATTAGTAATTCGAAGTAATTTAAGACTGAATTTAAAACTAAATTTGAACATTGTGGTGACTTAGAATCTGTGTATAGCATAGATTATAGACTGCTGATCGATCGTGTATAATATCGATTATTGACATTGCGATTATTGCTTCGAAAGTTTGTTAGTCTACTCGTGTTTCGGAAAGATGAAACGTGGTTCGCGTCAAAGTGAATTCTGTTCTTTTGGGGAAATATGTATATCTTCTGGGAGAGTATTTCTTTACGATAAGAAAACATTTTGTCTGTTTATTTTAACGACATCATTATATCAGTATCTAAAGACGGCAATATTTTTACAAAGTCAAACGACTCGACATAACCTTCTTCGTCGCAATTCGTTTACCAGAGCAATAATTTAGTATCCATTTTTATTTGCGAGGACCAATAAAGAAAAAAAAGATTGTAAATGAAGAATAAAGAGGTTAAGTGATTTTATTGTGCAATAACGAAACTAACGAGTCCGAATAGCGTAGTACTGTAGATTGTCGATCGGTTATGTACAATATCATATCGATTACCGATATTGCGATTATCGCAATTGTTTCGAAAGTTTCGTTAGTCTACTCGCGTCTTTGAAAGCTGAAACGTTGTTCGCGTCAAAGTGAATTCTGTTCTTTTTGGGGAAAAGTGTATAATATCTTCTGAAAGAGCATTTACCTACGGTAAGAAAAAAACATTTTGTCCGTTTATGTTATTATATCGGTCTACAATATTTTTACAAAATCAAACGACTCGACATAACCTTTTCCCTCGCAACTCGCTTACCAGAGCAATAATTTAGTATCCAATTTTATTTGTGAGAACTCGAGATAAACAAATGGGATAAGCAATCGAGATAAACAAATAAAAGGCTGTAAATAAAGAATAAAGAGGTTAAGTGATTTTATTGTGCAATAACGAAACTGAGTCCGAATAGCGCAGTACTGTAGATTGTCGATTTATCGATCGTCCATAATATCATATCGATTATCGACATTGCGATTATCACAGTTGTTTGAAAAAGTTCGTTGGTCTACTCGTGTTTTGGAAAAAAAAAAAAGATGAAACATGGTTCGCGTCAAAATGAGTTTTGTTCTTTCTTCTGAAGATATATTGAGTATTTACAATAAGTGTCGCATTTAGTCGATAATAAATCTAACATTTCCACAAAAAAGTTAGATTGTTCGGGAAATATGCAGCGTGTGTGACAATCGAAGTCGATGCTATTATCAACAAGTTCAGTTGCAATATCGCGGGTTATTTATGAGAAATAATTTAATTTATATTTAATTTATAATTAATATTATAGCTTAATTAGTTATAGTTTAATATTATAGTTTAATTTACGGTAGAAGATCGTGTTATTGGAATCATTGAATCAACAACAAATTTAATATCTCCAGAAACAATTAGGCTAATATTTCCAAAAATTAATGCTATTGTCAGCAAGTCCATTTGCTACATAACCTCTTTTGTCGCAGGTTATTTATCAAAAACAGTTTAATTTATCTATAGTAAAAAGATTGTGTTATTGTTGAATGAACAACAAATTTAATATCTCCAGAAACAATTAGGCTAATATTTCCAAAAATTAATGCTATTGTCAGCAAGTCCATTTGCTACATAACCTCTTTTGTCGCAGGTTATTTATCAGAAACAGTATCAATGGTATTAATTAATTTATCAATGGTAAAAAGATTGTGTTATCGTATTAATTAATGCGAATAATTAAAATTAGTTATGGTATTAATTA